CGGGGCTCTGCAACGGGAGAGGCCACAGGGGTGAGAGGCCCGCGTACCGCAAAAAAAAAAAAAACGCAGAATGCAACTTTGTTGCATCACCTCTAGACTGCCCTCTGGTCCTAGTCATTTCCATCTCTCTTGAGGACTGAAATACCCTCTTAAGCAGTTCTCTGTTTTTACCCTTTGCCCCACTAGAGTACTTCCTCAAAACAGCAGCCAGAGAGATGCCATTAAAATTCAAGTCATGGGAAGCAGCCGCATAGCACAGGGAGATCAGCTCGGTGCTTTGTGACCACCTAGAGGGGTGGGATAGGGAGGGAGGGAGGGAGGGAGACGCAAGAGGGAAGAGATATGGGGACATATGTATACGTATAGCTGATTCACTGTTATAAAGCAGAAACTCACACACCATTGTAAAGCAATTATACTCCAGTAAGGATGTTAAAAAATAAAAAATTCAAGTCAGATCACGTCACTCCCTCGTTCAAAACCTTCCAATGGCTTCTCCTCCTCTCCCTCAGAAAAGCAAAGGCTTTGTGATTAACTGTGCAGCCTGACTGAATCTGAGTCACTCCACCTATACCACCTCAACTCTCTGACCTCATCACCTCCCACCCTCCCTCCACTCCACTCCAGCCACACTGGCCCCCTTGCTGTTCAGCCTCCTACGCTCACTGCATCTCCTGCCTGGAACACCCTTCCCCCAACACCCACATGGTTCACTCCCTCATCACTTTCCCATCTTGGCTAAAACGTCACCTGCTAGGTGAAGCTGTCCCTCACAACACTTTCTTAAATTGCAAACTATACGTGCTTAGCACACTCCTTATCTCTCTTCCCTGCTTTATTTTTCCCCATTAGACCACTCAACATCTTATTTTACAAATTTTATAATAAAATATACTATAAAATTATTTTGTTTGTGCCCATTAGAATACTTATATTGTCTTCCCCTATTCGAGCATAAGCTCCAGACAGGTGAGGGTTTAGGTCTGTTCATGTTCACTGCTGCATTCCTACTACCTAGTAAATGCCTTGTATACAGCAGGTGCTCAACAAATATTTGCTGAATGAAGGGGAATAATGGCTGACTTGGTTCCTCTTACCTAAGACAGTCATCACCGTCTTCATTAGCTTCATGGGTGTCCTCCGGTGGCTGATGGACCCACTTGTGTGCGGAGATAAGATGTTGGTTTTCCTCTTTACGTACATGTAGATCCGCAGGTACACCACGACCATAATGAAGAAGGCCATGAGGTTGGACACACTCCAGAAAATGAGGTAGCTCCTGCTATAAATGGGGGCCAGGGAAGAGCAGGCAGAGATGTCACAGAGGCAATTCCAGCCCAGTGTGGGGACCGCCCCCATAAAGATGGCAATGGCCCAGACGATCAAGATGAGCAGAGTCACTCTCTTTTTGGTCAGGTTGCTGTGGACTCGCATCCTCATGATCGACATGTGCCTCTCCACAGCAATAACCAACAAATTGGTCAGGGAGGCTGTTAAGCTAGTGTCCAGAAGCCCCTGGCGGAGAAACCAGCGGTTGACAGTCAGAGTTTTTGAAACTGGGCCAGTGTTAAACATCAGGTATACATAGGCAATTCCAGCAAAGAAATCTGCAGCAGCTAGGTTAGCCAACAGGTAGTAGAAGGGGAAATGAAACTTTCTGTTTTTGATTACTGCTGCGATGACCAGAGAATTAGAAAAAAAGATAAACAGGCAGAAAAACGTTCCAACACACAAAACAATTACAAGTTTCGTTCCTGTCCACTCATTGGCAGTGTCAGTGTTGCTCCTATTATAAAAAAAGTCCATCTGCTTATCATAGTAGCACTCATTCATTGTGGAGAAGAACTGAACATCCTAGAAAGAAATTTAAAGAAGAAACAAATATCACTCTTTGGAAAAATCAATCACTAAATCACCAATTGCCATTGCTAAGCCCCTTGTTCAAGTCAACTCCTGCTCATCCTTCAAATCTCAGTGTAAATGTCCTTTGCTCCAGGACCCTGGCCCCCAACCACCTATCACAGCATTTATCTCATATCAGTCATCGTTGTCTGTTTCCCAGGTTAGGTGCAAGCGCAGTGAGGGAGGGTCTGTGTCTATTTTGTTCACCATGATAACCCCAGGACCCATCTGCCCTGGCTGCCTCAAGACAGGTATTTGCTGAATGGCTGGCTGGCTGGTTGGCTGAATGAATGAATGGTCATGGAGGCAGGAATAGGTCAAATAGTCTGAGCCTTGCAATAACCGCCCCCCCCCCCGCCCCCGCACTGGTAACAATTATAGCATAGCACGTTAAGGCTTCTCCTGGTGGTTTCCAGCTCATTTCTTACTTATAGGCCCCGCACTGTAACAATTATAGCATAGCACGTTAAGGCTTCTCCTGGTGGTTTCCAGCTCATTTCTTACTTATAGGTTCTGTTCATTAATCAAGGGCAGGTTGGTAATGCCAGGCACATTCTTGCCCAGATAACAGGTGTTGAGTTACTCTTCACGTGACCAAATGGCTTCCACGAGAGATTAATTTTCTACCACTTCTGATTCCAATCCTGATCTCCTTTTGCCATCTTTTAGTTTCAAACTACAATGACAACACTTGTTAAGCATGTGGTGCAGGGCTGGCGACTTTGGCCTCAATCCTCCTTCCTTAACTTTTTGTTCACTTCTTTCTTATTCTCCTAATCCAAATTGTACCAGTGTGAGTGTGCATATTGGATTTTCCACCTCAATCACTTCAAGTCAGTTTCCTTCCCTGGGCTCTCTTCAACAATGATGGTAGTAGAAGACCAGGCCTCCAGGGTAAGACTAGGATCTGGAGTCCAAGGGTGTGAGAACACTCCTGCCAAGGAGGGGCAAGTCCTCCAGACACATGTATGAAAGTAGACCCCAAAATGGGGTAACAAACAGACAGGCAAGACACTAATCTCAGGACAAGATCTCTTGCAGCCCAAAAGTGAGGGATTCTGGCCAAGGAGGGGCTGGGCAAGGACTCAAACAATGCCCATCCATCTATGCTTATTAGGAAGACCAGGTGTTCTGCCTCACAGTAGTCTGGCTATGGCCATGAAGTGTCCAATCAATGGAGACCAGGGTTGAAGGCTAGAAAAGCTAGCTTCTGGGGAGAATGACCACGGGCTCTCTCTCAAGAAACAAGGCTTCAACTCTTTTGCTGGAAAGCTGGAGATCCAGAAGGCCCAGGCACTGAGCAGTCCACTGGTGGGAATGAAGTGGCTCTAACAGTAAAAGCTTACTAGAAATCCCCAGCTCTTAAGGCTCTTATAAATTCTACAGTCCAATACCACATCCAGAATCAGTGGGTCAAATATCAGCTTGAATTAGTACAAAATAGAAATTTATCATAGACAGTCTTCTTTTTATATATTTATATTTTAGTGGTATAATGATATTTTTAATGAACTAGATATATGCATCCCTGCTGTAAATAATGAAAGGTAAAATATCGTTTTATATGCTTAAAATAAACAAAATGGGAGTGGTCTCAAGAGACAAATGGTTCTAGTGCCTTTCAATTACAAGGAAGGGGGATTCAATTTTAATAAGGACAAAACAAAGATACAGCAGGGCAATATAGCTACACTATATCATGATAATTTTCCCAAATTAAAACTATAGATCTGCATGATAATTTTAATAGCTTCACAATATTCCAGTATGAATATACCACACTTTACTTAACTAATCCCTAACTGTTGCATATTTAGGTTGTTTCCAATATTTCACTTTTACAAGCAAGGCTACATTCTTATGCATTAATCTTTACACACTTGGCCAATTATTCCCTTAGGATTAATCCATGGATTTCAAGTTGATGAAGCAAAGAATATAAATTTATTGAAAGGTTTCTGATACATGTTGTTGAACTGCCCTTGAGACAGATCATATTTCTAATCCCACCAGCACATATAAGAGTTGAATAGCAGATACTAATCTAGTGAAATTCAATTTTAATATCCAAGGGGAAAATGTAGCTTTCAACAGTATTGAAAGTACACAGAAATTCAAGACAAAAAAATCCAAAAACCACATAAGAAATTTTAATGATTATGTGTCTTCTTATGTGTGCAATTTTTTTTAATAAATAAATTTATTTATTTATTTATTTTTGGCTGCGTTGGGTCTTCGTTGCTGCGCGCGGGCTTCCTCTGGTTGCAGCGAGCAGGGGCTACTCTTCGTTGCGGTGCGCGGTCTTTCCACTGCAATGGCTTATCTTGTTGCGGAGCATGGGCTCTAGGTTTGCAGGTTTCAGTAGTTGCAGCACGTAGGCTCAGTAGTTGTGGCTCATCAGCTCTAGAGCGCAGACTCAGTATCTGTGGCACACGGGCTTAGTTGCTCCGCGGCATGTGCGATCTTCCCGGGCCAGGGCTCGAACCCATGTCCCCTGCATTGGTAGATGGATTCTTAACCACTGCGCCACCAGGGAAGTCCCTATGTATGCAATTATTATGTGTCCTAACAAAAATGAAAAACCCTTTTTATTTTGCTATATGCTTTAGACAGCTAAGAGAAGCACATTTCTAATTTTAAAATTATATTATTCTTGATTAACTCATCAGTTTAATCAAGATTAAATTGTCAGAAAGATGTAGGAATTAACATACTACCAAAACACTTTAAATTTTCCTAATTTCCTTTTTTTTTTTAGACATTTTTATTGGAGTATAATTGCTTTACAATGGTGTGTTAGTTTCTGCTTTATAACAAAGTGAATCAGCTATAAATATACATATAACTCCATATCTCTTCCCTCTTGTGTCTCTCTCCCTGCCACCCACCCTATCCCACCCCTCTAGGTGGTCACAAAGCACCGAGCTGATCTCCCTGTGCTATGCGGCTGCTTCTCACTAGCTATCAGTTTTACATGTGGTAGTGTATATATGCCGATGCCACTCTCTCACTTTGTCCCAGCTTACCCTTCCCCCTCCCCGTGTCCTCAAGTCTATTCTCTAGTAGGTCTGTGTCTTTATTCCCGTCCTGCCCCTAGGTTCTTCATGACCTTTTTCTTTTTTTAGATTCCATATATATGTGTTAGCATACGGTATTTGTTTTTCTGTTTCTGACTTACTTCACTCTGTATGACAGACTCTAGGTCCATCCACCTCACTACAAATAACTCAATTTTGTTCCTTTTCATGACTGAGTAATATTCCATTGAATATATGTGCCACATCTTCTTTATCCATTCATCTGTTGATGGACACTTAGGTTGCTTCCATGTCCTGGCTATTGTAAATGGAGCTGCAGTGAACATTTTGGTACATGACTCTTTCTGAATTCTGGTTTCCTCAGGGTATATACCTAGTAGTGGGATTGCTGGGTCATATGGTAGTTCTATTTGTAGTTTTTTAAGGACCCTCCATACTGTTCTCCATAGTGGCTGAACCAATTCACATTCCCATGAGCACTGCAAGAGTGTTCCCTTTTCTCCACACCCTCTCCAGCATTTATTGTTTCTAGGATTTTTGATGATAGCCATTCTGACTGGTGTGAGATGATATCTCATTGTAGTTTTGATTTGCATTTCTCTAATGATTCATGATGTTGAGCATTCTTTCATGTGTTTGTTGGCAGTCTGTATATCTTCTTTGGAGAAATGTCGACTTAGGTCTTCTGCCCATTTTTGGATTGGGTTGTTTGTTTTTTTTGATATTGAGCTGCATGAGCTGCTTGTAAATTTTGGAGATTAATCCTTTGTCACTTGCTTCATTTGCAAACATTTTCTCCCATTCTGAGGGTTGTCTTTTCGTCTTGTTTATGGATCCTAATTTCCTTTTAAAGGGGTCTTAACATTTATTTTGGTTATAACTTTGGTTGAATTTGTAATCAGATGATGCCCTAAAACCTCAATGATTCTTACTTCACAAATCTTCAAGCTCAACTTTCCCCCATCAAAACCTAAATGGCATATGTTCTTTGACACATTTTAGCAAAATTCGTCCTGAGAGTGAGAAGCAGTTTGTCTTACAGAGTTGAAAACCACAGGAAAACCATGATCAACCAGAACTCCCACCACACAGTTCCCTACCTCCAAGCCTCGAATTCTACTTTGGGGAGAAATAGACAATGAGAATATAAAAAGTTCATATAGGGAATTGATGAAAAAGATTCCACAGGATGGAAATGTTATACAGCCATTGAAAACCATGTTTACTATGAAGTTGTAGTAATATGAGGAAAAGCATATGCCATTATTTTAATTATAAATATATACGTATATATACAGATATTTCTGTATACATACATATATAACATACATATAAACACACACAAATGTGTTGTGTTTGTATGTCTTAACTATTTTTAAAAGATAGAGAAAGAAAATAAGGAAAAGAACTCAAAGTGTAAATAGTTAATTAAGAATGGTAGAATTGCGGGTCATTTTTTAAAAATTCTTTCCAGTTTTTCCTATGTTCCGCATTTTCTGTAATAAATAAATAAATAGACTTTTAAATGCTAGTCTCTACAAATTCTGTCTTAGGAGCACACATTCTATTTAATCTACCTTTCTTTGACAACTACGACAATGAAAAATCAAAATTAGTGCTCAAAGGAAAAGCCTCAAGGCTTCACTTATGTTCGTTATTATTACTCTTAACAGCACAGAGCACTTTAGCATTTTCCAGTGTTAATGAAAATAAAATGGTTTTCTGCTTAAAATTTCATGTAACCACAAAACCTTATATGCTGACAACTGACCAAATCAAGACATCACTTTCCCCAACTCTCTTATAAAACATTTCCTAACACAACTGCCCCAGAGCCCCAAATATGAATAACTAGAAGTTTCTGAATTAGTACTTTTGATTTTTTCTCTCTGCCATATGCTATCAAGCTTGTTGACAGTCCCCAGTACATATTAA